TGCTTAGTGTCTAGTAGAAGACGAGCGCTTCTGAAAGCGTGTTATTTCGGGCGGTTCTGATCAGGGTTGTTTGACCCACCAACCCAGTTGCCTCCTTCTCGAAGTTGTGATCACTCAATTCCCCTGGTTCCTGGAGAAGCTCTGGTTTATTCTCGGTCGTACCGATTTTCCCCGGCTCTCAAGGATGAGGTGGAGAAACAAGTCAAAGAGATGTTGGCATCGGGCATTGTTTAGAAGAGCACCAGTCCATTTTCATCTGCAGTATTATTGGTGAAGAAAAAGGATAATACATGGAGATTCTGTGTCGATTACCGGTAGCTCAACGCTATCACAGTTAAGGGCAAGTACCCGGTTCCCATAATTCATGAACTGCTTGATGAGTTATCTAGAGCTACTTGGTTTTCAAAACTCGATTTGCGCTCTGGCTTTCACCAGATTTTGCTTAAGCCCGGTGAAGAATTTAAAACAGCTTTCCAAACACATTTTGGCCAGTTTGAGTTCAGAGTTGTGTCGTTTGGTCTCACAGGAGCCCCTAGGACATTTCAAGATGCTATGAACTCGACTCTAGCTCCTTTTCTCCAGAAACTTGTACTTGTTTTCTTCTATGACATTCTGATATTCAGTTCATCTTATGAGGAGCATGTCCAACACTTGCAGTTGGTATTTCAGCAGATTCAGGCACATGACTGGAAAATTAAGCTATCTAAATGTGAGTTTGCCAAGCAAAGCATTGCATACCTAGAAGGTGGCTGCTATTGTTAATTGGCCTACTCCTATATTAGTCAAGGATCTGCGTGGTTTTCTTGGTCTAGCGGGGTACTACAGAAAGTTTGTGCGCAATTTTGGCATTATGGTGAAACCATTGACTGAGCTGCTGCGGAAGAATACTTTGTTTATTTAGACTACTGCCCACGATTAGTCTTTCCAAGCCTTGAAGCAAGCCTTGAGCTCCTCACCAGTCCTTGCCTTGCCCGATTTCTCCAAGCCGTTTAGCATTAAGACTGATGCTAATGCCAGCGGTATTGGAGTTGTGCTGACTCAGGAGGGTCACCCATTGGCATTCCTCAGCAAAGCCTTGGGCCTCGGTTCTCGTGGGTTGAGTACTTATGAGAAGGAATACATGGCCGTCTTAATGGTTGTCCAGCAATGGCGTTCTTACCTATAGCATACTGAATTCACCATTTTTATGGATCAGTAGGGCCTTGTTCAGTTAACTAACCAGCGTCTTCATACACCATGGCAGCAAAAGCTCTTCTCTAAGCTGGTGTGCTTACAGTTCCGCATTGTTTATAAGCCAGGCACTGCAAACCGAGTAGTTGATGCTTTGTCACTCAAGATCTTTCATGATTCCACCTGTTCTGCAAATTTCAGTGGTTTCTCCAACTTGGATACAAGAGGTGGTGCCCGGTTATGCTGTTGATCCTATATCTTTTGAGATGATAGCTAAATTGAGCATTGATCCCAAAGCTGTGTCGGGTTTCTCTTTGCGCGATGGTGTCCTTCATCAGGGTCCACGTATATGGATTGGAGATAATTCAGTTCTTCAGCAGAAAAATTCTCCAGGCCATTCATTCCAGCGCTCTGGGCGGTCACTCCGGATTTCCAGCAACGTATACTCAGTTGAAACAGCTGTTCCAATGGCGTGGTATGAAGTCTGCTACCCGGGCTTTCGTTCAAGCTTGTGTGACTTGTCAGCAGGTCTGCCCGGTCTCCTTCAACTGCTGCCAGTACCCGAAGCCGCCTGGCAAACAATATCAATGGATTTCGTTGAGGGGCTACCCCGCTCAGGTAATGTTAACTGCATTCTAGTCGTTGTTGACTCCTTCGCAAAGTATGGCCACTTCTTGCCATTGTTCCATCCATTTACAGCTTCAGTTGTTGCTAAGCTTTTCCTCAACAATGTTTACCGCTTACATGGTCTGCCTACTGCAATTATATCTGATCGGGATCGTATTTTCACAAGTCACTTTTGGTGTGAGCTCTTTCGCTTGGCAGATGTCTCTTTGCAAATGAGCTCCAATTATCACCCGCAATCAGATGGACAGACTGAGCGCCTCAATCAAACCATGGAGACATTCTTACGTTGTTTTGTTAATGCTTCTCCTACTAAATGGTCAGCTTGGATTGCTCTTGCGGAATTCTGGTACAATGCTTCCCCTCATTCTACAATTGGTTGTTCCCCTTTTGAAGCCCTCTATGGCTATCCCCCTCGTCATTTCGGGATCTCAGTTTTGGATGATGTGGGCTGCCGAGCTGTCTTCTTGGCTTCAGGATCATCAGGTTATGACTGACTTGATCCGTCAGCACGTAGCCCGCGCAAAGGAGCGTATGAAGAGGCAAGCTAACAAGAAACGTTCAGAGCGCCAGTTCACTATTGGTGACATGGTTTTTGTCAAGCTTCAACCCTATGTTCAGTCTACTCTGGGCCCTCGCTCAAACCCGAAGCTATCCTTCAAGTTCTATGGACCCTTCAAGATTGTTGGAGCGATTGGCTCGTGGCTTACAAGTTACTGTTACCACCATCATCCGCTATCCACCCGGCATTTCACGTCTCGCAGCTGAAGGCCGCTGTTCTTCCTCATGTGCAGGTATCACCTTCTTCACCAGCTGACAGTGAGTTGCCTCAGGTTCCTAAGGAAGTGTTGTAGCGTCGTGTGATTCCCTCTGCATCTCTTGGCTCGGTGGAGCAAGGCACGATCTCGTGGTCCTGCGGTTGGCGAGTGAAATGGCCACCGGGAGAACTGCTTGACTTCGTCAAGCCTTTCCAAGAGCTCTGCTTAGGGTCAAGCATGCTTGCTACGACTACTTCAGAGGATGCGGCCCATGGACCTCGGGTTGGTTCACGCAACCGCCGGCCCAATGTTCGTCTAGCTGGCGCAGAGTGGATGTGAGCGTGCCTGTGTGCACCTGGTGGGCGCAAAGCCATGTAAGCATATAAGATACCCAGAGAGAAAGAGAAGGTTCATCACGAATTATGTAATCAAACTCTAAACTCTCGAGCACTCATCCTTCCTCGCCTGTCCTTCCTGCCTATTTGCTTCTATCCCTTGCCTACTGCTAACAAAATGATGCATGAGAAATGACACAATTTTCAGATTCGGTTGTACTAGTAAAAGATGGAATAAAAAATATTTCAACAAATTACGTGTGTCCAACAAGTATAATTTCATCATGCGACACTATGAGTGTATCATCCTCCCCAAATTATCAGTGCAAAACATCAAGACATTGCCTACTAACAATGGCAAATCCCCTTCATCCTCGGACCCAATTTCAAAGAATACAAATACAACTCGAACCTGAAATGTACTAGAAGTAAAGTAAGTAGTGTAGCGCCAGCATTCTTCATCAGCGACGACGAAGCTGCAGTTATTCCGATCTCCAAGTATACAATGAACGAAGCTAAATTTGATCCATCCAAGACCAACAACGCCGCCCTTCGCCCGGTGAGGCGAAGTCGTGATTGAGGAAGTCGATGACCTTGTCTCGCGGACGGCCTCGTCGCGGCTTCGGCTCCGGGAGGTGGAACGTGTGTCCCTTGCCGGGCGCTGCTAGATCTCGCCTCGCGGGCCACCACTGGCCCCCGAGCGGTCGTAGTAATTCTTGGCCATGATCGCATGAGCACGTCGCCCTCGCCGACGACACGAGCACGCTGCCAAGACGCTGGGGACGCCAGGTAATGGTGCGCCGTCCACGAAGGGGTTGATGAGCGGGTCGTCCTCCCCCGTGGTGGTCGGGCACATGACGCGCCAGAGGGAGCCCAGGTTCTCGCGCACCTCCGGGCTAAGGTCGTCGGAGGGCACCTTTTCCGTGCCCAGGAAGTAGGGGTGGATCATGACGAGGCTCCGGATCCCTCTGGCTAATAGTTAAGGCTAAAAATTAGCTCAAATTAGCTCAGTTTGATAAGATAGGACTAGTTAATTGTTAAGGTTAAAAATTAGTTTAAATTAGTTATGTTGGCTAGCTAGGTGGATAACAACTAGTTAGAGACTTGCTTACAAGTTCGCTCACCTATTAGTTTTTCTGTTTGATACACTAGAGCTAATTTTAGCAAATTTTGTAAATTTTTAGCTAAGTAGCAATTAGCCCTTTATTTAAACAGGCCGGATGGTATGTTTTTTTTATATTGTCCTGTAGCTTCTCTGGCATCTGTGAAACTGAGAAGTCTAAAATGCTTGTGTACCGAGCCATTGACTTTCAGCCTTCATCATCATCCTCTCAACATAGGCTAACATGGGAAGCAGAAGAGGCTAGAAAACAACAAAACAGTATAAGCACATAAAAATGTATGCAAAGGCATCCTGCCATGTGAACCAGCTAGTTGACAAATGTATGAACAGCTGAACTTGCCAATTCTTTCTTCTTTGATTTGTTTGTAGGGGTATCTTAGCAATCGAACACGGCTGACATTTGTACTCCAACTGAGAAGTAATTCCATGAGCATTAGCTGCTGCAAAAAAAAAAAAAAAAAAAAAGGCACGATCTTGTAAAAGATGGAATCAATGTTTCCAAACCCTGTGTGTCCGAGAAATGGCAAGTTCAGCTGACATTTCTACCCAAATTGAGAAGTGGTTCAACGAGCAATAGCTGCTACGAATAATATAAGGCGCGGTTTTCACTTCAGTTGTACTAGTAAAAGATAGAATAAATGTTTCAACAAATTCTGTGTCCAACAAGTATAATTTCATCAGTATGACACTATGACTGTATCATCCTCCCCAAATTACCTGGTACAATACATCAGCACCATCCTCCCCAAATTACCTGGTACAATACATCAGCACCACTAACAATGGCAAATCCCCCTTCATCCTTGGATCCAATTTCAAAGAATACAAACACGACTCTGAACCTGAAATGTACTAGAATTAAAGTAAGTAGTGTAGAGCCAGCAATCTTCATCAGTGACGACGAAGCTGCAGTTATTCCGATCTCCGGGTATACAATATTGAACGAAGCTAAATTTGATCCAACAACGCCACCACCGGCGGCGAGGCGAGTCAGCGGTTGAGGAAGTCGCTGATGACCTTGTCCTGCGCGACGGCCTCTTCGCAGCTTGGCTCCAGGAGGTGGAACGTGTGTCCCTTGCCGGGCGCCTGCCAAATCTCCGCCTCGCCGGGCCACCCGCTGGCCCTGAGCCGGTCGTAGTAGGCGCGGCCGCGGTCGCGGAGCACGTCGCCCTCGCCGACGCACACGAGCACGCGGCCGCACGCCAGGGACGCCAGCGGCTGGGCGCCGTCCACGAACGGGTTGATGAGCGGGTCGTCCTCCCCCGTGGTGGTCGGGCACATGACGCGCCAGAGGGAGCCCAGGCTCTCGCGCACCTCCGGGCTGAGGTCGTCGGAGGGCACCTTGTCGGTGCCCAGGAAGTAGGGGTGGATCATGACGAGGCCCCGGATCCGGGCGCCGTGCGCCAGCCCTCCGCGGCCACGCGCATCGCCATGTGGTGCGCGATGTTGGAGCCCGCGCTCTCGCCGCCCAGGTAGAGGCGGGAGAAGTCGGCGTGGCCCGCGATCCACGGGTCCCGGTTGGAGTCGTCGGCGGCAGGGGCGGCGAGATGGGGAGACGACCCAGGCGAGCGCGTCCCAGGAATCGGCGTAGGCGGCGGGGACGGGGTGCTCGGGGGCGAGGCGGTACTCGACGGAGACGACGAGGACGTTGGCGAGGCCCGCGAAGGTGTTGAAGTAGGCGTGGAAGGTGGGGTTGAAGGCGGAGCCGAGGCAGAAGCCGCCGCCGTGGTAGTAGACGAGGATGGGGAGCTTGGCGGCGCTCCCGTCGTCGAGACGCGGGAGGTAGAGGCGCGCGGAGACGTTGGGGAGATGACGACGTCCCTGGAGGCGACCCCGTGGCGGCGTCGGTGGAGGCGGCGACGAACTCGGTGCCGAAGTAGCGCTCCACGCGGTTCTTGTAGACGCGGATGCAGGGCATGGACTCGTACACGATCTCGTCGTCCGCGGACGCCGGCGGCGGGGCGACGGGTGCGGCGGCCATCGGAGGAGATCTGGGCCGAGCAGGCAAGGCAACGATACAGGGTCGCTGGTACAGCAGAGCAGAGTCGTTCGGTGAAGTACTACTAGTTGGCGCTGAAATTTTAGCTGGCCTAGTATTCCGTACCTAATCTTGCAAGTTGCTAGACGCCTCTCACATGCTGATTTTATCTGCTCTTTTGGTGAAATTCCCCCTCCTCTCAACCTTTCCTTCAAGCCAAAGCATCAAATGGGAGTAGATAGGATTATTCAGCAGACGATCGCTGGCTGCGCAGCCTACCAACAACCAGTCAACATCAAGACCTTTTCTCGTCAAGCATCAAATGGGAGCACGACAATACGTTTCCACCAGCTAACACATCAAAATTCAGGTGCAACGAAGTTGTTCGTTATTCAGCTGCATGAGCAACACGGTAGGCCCGCAGCATTTCATATCGTTCCGATTACAACTTGGAATTGTTCATCGGTGATCAGTCAATGCAAGCACAGCGTGACAGCACACTGCACGCAAGTACACGTACGCTCTTGCGCCAGCTCCGGTGACGCGCGTGCGCGCGCCAGGTTCTACTGGTTCCCGGTGATGAGCGCAACTAGCCGATCCATGAGGAGCACCGCCTTGGCGCTGTCGGGCTCACGGAGGTGGAACTCGTGGTCCGCGGGCGCGGAGTCCAGCAGCTCGGCGTCCGCCGCGGCCCACCCGCTCGCCAGCAGGCCGTCGTAGTAGGCCTTGCCCTCAGCGACCAGCGCGTCGTCCGCAAGGCAGACGAGGACCCGGGCGCACCCGAGGCGCCTCAGGCTGGGCGCGCCGTCCGCGAGCGGGTTGACGCGCGGGTCGTCGGGCCCCGCCGCCGTCCGCCCCTCGCCGCACGCGAACGCCCACATCTCCGCCAGCTTGCCGCGCACCCACGCGTACTTCGCTACCTCGCCTTCCTCCGCAGCCTTGCTGCCCTTGTCCCCAGGCGCCGGTGCCGGCGGCGACAGGAAGAACGGGTGCACCAGCGCCATCCCCTGCACCCGGGCGCCGCGGGGGAGGAGGTCGGGCTCGGTCTCGGGCTCCGAGCCGGCGCGGAGGGTGAGGTTGTGCGCGAGGTTCGCGCCGGCGCTGAACCCGAGCACGAACACGCGCGCCACGTCGCCGTGGTCGCGGACCCACGGGTCGGCCGCCGACGTCACCACCCACCGGAGCGCAGCCCAGGCGTCGTCGTAGCAGGCGGGGACGGGGTGCTCGGGCGCCAGGCGGTACTCCACGGACACGGCGAGCGCGCCGGCCCGCGCCGCGAGGCGGTTCACGAAGGCGTGCTCGGGGGCGTCGGCCGCGGACCCGACCACCAGGCCCCCGCCGTGGAAGTAGAGGACGATGGGGAGACGACGCCTGTCGTTATCGGGGCGCGCGGATACTGGGAGGTAGAGGCGCGCCCACAGGCCCGTGGCCGGGTCAACGGTGACGTCCTTGGAGGCGACCCCGGTGGCGGCGTCGACGGAGGGCGGGACCGGGTTGATGGGGAGCAGGCGCTCCACGCGGCCGCTCTTGTACTGCCGGATCACGGGGACGAACTCAAACGTGACCTCGGCGTCGGGATCCATGTCGACTGTGCGTGGTGGCGCGATGATGGCGAGGTGGTTATCGGATTTTGTGGCGGCAAAGGGATGAGCTGTGGCAAGGTTATTTGAATTATAATCCGTTTTTTTATAGTATGTAATTTTAATCGAAATAGTATTTTTCCTCGTAACAAATCAGCGAAGAACGGTATTTCGATTTGTTTTTTTAACGAAGCGAACGGTGCCAAAGCTTGCGTCATCAGTGCCAAGAGCTAGACGCTCCTCGCGAGAAGACGACAGTTTCACATGTACAGACAGACAGTGAGACAGTATTACAGTAGTTATACTAGTAGTACTTGATTGAGGAGCAACCCGAGAAGACGATAACCTTGTGCTCCTACCTCTGCTGCCGACTGGGAGCCTTTTTTTTTTTTTTTTTTGCTCCGTGGATATGGGCCATTTGGTTGCTGGGCCAAATTCTACTAGCCGGGCCAAATTCTTTTTTTTTTAATCACATCCAGGCCAAATTCTAACAGCACAGACGTTTACTGTTTGGCTGATACACTGGGTTGCTCCAAAAAAAAAGAAGACTGATACACCGGGCCACAGGAATCAGGCCGTTATTTAACATAGAACTTCATATGGTAACTCAAAATTGTTCCTATAAGTTTAAATAGCATAATATGACATGTTGAATTTTTTTCTTTTGAACACCCCCCCAAAAAAAGGTCACAAAAATTGGAGATATTTTGAACCCTGCACACAAGTGGACTAAATTAGGCTAACTCAACGCTTATCAGTTAGCCCGGGTTTATCTCTTGTTTTATTTAAGTTTGTCTAGTTCCGAATTTGGAATGTGTAAACTGGAAAATGAACAACGTAAGTTCCCCCATGCTGCTATGATTAACCTTCGAGCTTTATCCTTTCTGCACGCTGAGCTTGGATGCATCAAGAGAACCTAATCTCGCCGCACAGGCAACACTGCTGTCAAGAATCTCTTCCATGCCGTACTTGTACTTGAAACCCAGCTCGCCCAACCTGTCCCGGTCAGGCTGCACCCTCGCCACCGCCTCCGTCCTGACGCAGATCCAATCAATCGCAACAGAAATGTAAATCAGCTTGTTGTCAGATATCCCGACAGAGCAAATCATTCATAGTCTGTGTTCTAGACTTCTTGTGCAGGGTGATGGTGTGAAGGCTTTTTGATCTTACTCTTTCAAGATGTCGAGGTGAGGGAACTTCCTGGCGTAGTGTCCGACCACGTCGTGGATCGTCGGGTATGCGGCGGCGCAGAGGTAGCGGCCGGCGATGGAGGGGCAGCGCTCCATGCAGAAGATGAGCGCGTCGCAGACGTCGTCGACGTGCACCAGCGGCAGCGATCCCAGGAGCTGCTGCAGGATGCGCGGGAGCCCGAAGAGCGGCTCGTTGCAGGACACGGGCGACACGGCGCTCTCCAGCGTCTCCGGGGCACGGCCGAGGACCGTGTCGCCGGCGACGAGGCCCAGGGCCAGGGTCACCACCTCGAACGCCGGGCTCTCGCCGCCGTTGTAGCTCAGGAGTTCCTGCTCTGACTGCAGCTTGGACAGTATGTACTTCTGCAAATGGCCGTCAGCTTTAGCCGTTAATTGATATATATATATATATATATATATATATATATATATATATATATATATATATATATATATATATATATATATATATATATATATATATATATATATATATATATATATAGACACACACACACTACATGTTTGGCTAAAAATTAAGGGAGCTGTTGTGAGTCTATACAAATTCAGGATTTTGTTTGATATGTACGCATAATTGATAATCGAATAGTCCATTTTTTTCATAGAAATAAAAACAGAGTACATCCATAAACAGAGTAAAGCCTAGTAATCAGCAAAATTGTCCTCCGAGGTTCAGTTCAGAAATCAGAAGAAGCTTTACTACTTACATCGAAGTGTGCACTTCGGAGAGGATAGTCAACGTTGAGCGAAGTCCAGCAAGATTCGCTGATGAAATCTTTGTACCCGGTGACGCCGGAGACCTCCTCCTTCAGCGGCGAAGCGGCCGATACGGAGGCGGTGTGGATCACTCGCTTCACCGTCCTGGACTCCTCGCATTGCCGGAGGATCGCGCGCACAGCGTCCACTACAGCTTCCGCCGTGCTCTTATACTGCTCAAATTTTCGTTTGCAAGGATAGTAATTTTCATTTCCACAACTAAAGAAGAGAGCACGGCGCCTGACCATGACTCATCACTCGTTGACTAGTAAAACCATGAAAGGGAGCGCGATGGCAAACTTCACCTTGGAGCCGGCGTTTTCGAGCCCGAATGGCGTGGCGACGAGGAAGACGAACTGGCACCCAGCGATCGCCGGCGCGAAGGTGGTGGCGTCAAAGAGGTCAGCGTCGAACAACCGCAGCCGCTCCGCCGCGCCGGGGACCAGCCGCCGCAGCAGACCCGCCTTCTCCTCGTCTCCTGCAGCCACCAGCAGATGAATCCGACTGAGATTTCCGAACCAGGCACTCCTTTTGCCTTTTGGCGTGTTTCGCGGATCGAGGTGAGCCGCCATGAAACGAAGGAGGTCACGGCCTCCCTCACGCACGCATGAGTGACGCACCGGTGTTCCGCAGGGTGGCGTGGACGGTGTAGCCTTTCTCGAGGAGCTTCCTGACGAGCCAGGAGCCGATGAACCCGGCGCCTCCGGTGACGCACACCCGCACTCCGCTGCTCTCGCTTTCGGCCATGGCTGCCTCTGAATGGTAACAGTGTTTGGATTTGGATTGGACCTATGGGATTTTGCTCTGGCGTGAGAAAAGCTGGGCGTCTGGTCTAGTTTAAATATACCCATGAGCAGGATACCAAAGTTGACCGTCTTACTCTTACGGGTCGGCTGTGGACTTGTGGTTGGTGTCCACAGAAAGAGAAGAGAGGGTGAAATAAGGCGGGGAAGGCCAAAACGCCGAGTCAACCTGTTCGTTGATTTATTACGAGAAAAAAATATCGTTTCTTGGTTGAAATAGTACGGCTCATAAGACAAACGATCAGGGCCAATGGTCAGACAAATAGATGAATTAAAAAAGTACTATGCCAAATGATTAGTGAAAAGCACCTAAAATCTCCAGATATATTAAATATGTTTATTTGTTAATTGAAATATGACGTTATGATGACAAATATACTCCCTCGGTTGTAGGAGTATATAAAGGTCCTCAAATTTTCCCCTCATTCCTAAAGACTTTTAAGGGCCCCTATTTCTATTTTCCTATATGGTTAGAAAGACCTGTGCCCATACAGATTTCTTTTTCATTTGTACGGATTTATTTTTTGCCCATTTGCTCGCTCTCCTGTTTGTGCTGCATTCCTAGCCACGTCGGCCGCTCCAATTGGTCTTCGGGCGTCAGATCCGCCATGGCCTTCCTCCATTCCCACACATTTTCTTGCTCCCCCACATGGATCTGTTATCTCTAGTGCCATCTACCTCCTCTAAGTGTCCGCATCAGCCCTTTCCGACGCATCGTCCACCGGCACACCTACGTCCTCCCCCAACTCCGACTCCATCCTGGCATGACCTTGACCCCCTCCCCGCATCTGCAATTGCCCTTCCGTGCACGGCTACCTTCCCGCTGCGGCACCGGCTCCCACCACGGCGCCCCCTCTCGCCACGTCCCCTCGCCTTGCGTGCCCTCTCCTAACGTCCCTTCTCCTGGCGCACATTCCACCTTGCAGTCCTGGCTCGGCTTCTCTCATGGCTCCACCACCGCCGGCCTCTGCCCCATAGGTAGCCTCACTCCTGGCACCACCACTGGCCTCCAACTCACAGCTCTCCCTCCACCGGTGGCTTCCTTCCTAGCTTCCCTCCACCATTTGCCACCCACATCAGGCGAGGGAGAAATTGGAGAGCAGAGATGATGATGGGCCCTATAAAGAGGTCCTCCAAAACCTCATTTTAGATAAAAGGAAAATTGAATGAAGAGAGATGGAAGGAACAGGAGTACATGGTTTCACTAGAGGAGTGCAAGGTCTCCTTAGGAGGAGTGCATGATGGAGGCGAGAACAATGCAAAGTGGCATTGAGCAGATGTGAGCAATAATAGAATTGTGTTATGTGACATTAACACTTTAGAGCCAGATGTGAAAGCATATGTGATAGCAACGAGGGCTCAACTTGTACCTTAGTGGATGGTGGTGTTCAACAATAGCTTTAGTGGATGAAGTGGTGCAATGAGTGGGGGTAGTTGAGGCTAGTGGTGATGGCAATGGAGGAGATAATTGATTCATTCCTATATATATGTTTCATATTTATGAATTTAATGTTGTGGTGGACTATGTGATGTGATGAACAATGTCGCTTAAATTCGAATTAACATATTTGAATTTATGGATCTGAGTACCATTGATTTGTATAAAGTAGTAACAATATTGTTCGATTTTTTGTTAGATGAAATAGATAGAATACCCGTAGATTGTGGGAAAAGCTAAAACAGGAAATTAGGAACCTGATTTAAAGCTATTGCTAGAGTTGAGCTTCCCTCGGTTCTCAAGTACAAATCATGAGTTTTAGGGGCAATTGCTCTTCAAATCCCTTCAACATGGTTTGAAGGAGTGCGTGAGCCCATGCGAATCAATTGAAATCGCATTGACAATGCTAGAGCGAACAAACAACAAAAGTTGCTTTGACCCGATTCCATCGTAGACGCAGCACAACACTTGCTCTAGTTTGGTACTCCCTCCGTCATAATATATAAGACGTAACCACTTTGTCGGTGTTTCGGACCGGGGGGTCCTCAACCAACCAGTGAATTTGTTCTGCGTGCTCCCGATCCGGATGGCGATGCAAAGAGACACAAGGTTTATACTGGTTCAGGCAATCGAGGCCCTACGTCCAGTCTGAGAGATCGATCCTGTATTCCTTGCACCGAGGTGCTCGTAGTAGGGGGTTACAAGCTAAAGGAGAGAAGGAGCTGGTCCTAGGTCTCGGCGGGGTGTCGTGCCGTCCGCTTGAGACGTTGCTCTCAGGCGGCCGGAGTGTGCGTGTGTGTGTTCCTAGCCCCCCCCCCCTCTAAAACAACCCAGGTCCTCTCCTTTTATAGCATGAAGGGAGGACTTGGGCGGTACATGAGCTGACTATACGGCGTCGTGTGAACAGAGGCGGCGTGTTCGGGCCCTGTAGCCTGTTCCTGTGGCGGCGTGGCCGTCGGAGTGGTCCATCCTTGGAGTACGGGGGCGGCGTGGTCATCCCATTAGGTCCTGTGCGTCGTGGGAGCCTCGGGAATGCCTCGGAGTGGACGCGGCGGCGAACGTGCAAGCCACTGTGGACGGACTGTGCGCGACGCCGAGGCTTGGTCGATGCCGAGGCTTGCACTGCGGTGGGGGGGGTCTCAGCAGGCACGTACCCCAAGATCGCCGAGGCCCCGGTGTACAGTGTCGAGGCCTTGAGCGGGCGGCCGATCATGGGTACAGCGTTTGGACACAGTGGTCGGTAATCCCCGTCGTACCCTTTCCCAGCCGGTATGGTGCTGATTGTGGACACAGTGGTAGGGCACAGTGGTCGGTAATCCCCATCGCGTCCTTTCCCAGCCGGTATGGTGCTGATCGTGGACACAGTGGTAGGACACGATGGCTTTGTCCGGGCGGTATGATACTGATGCGACCTCGGATCGCGTCGGCCATCCTGTGGCGTTGAGCCCTTTGTCCATTTGAGATTGCGGGAGTGGTTGAAGCATTAATGAGACATGACGAGTCGTTGGGAGGGTCGGCCGAGGCGGGGGGCGATGGACCGCGGATGAGCCGGCCTCGAGCGACACGGAGAACGAGGCCTCGCGCGATACGGAGAATGAGGCCTCGCGCGATACGGAGAATGTGCCCCTACCGAGGCCTTCCCTGGATAGCCTCGGGCGAGACGGAGGCGGCCCCCCTGCCGAGGCTCGGCGCCCCCTGCCGAGGCCTACCCTTGGGAGCCTCGCGCGAGGCGGAGTTTGTTCCGAGACCTCCTGCTCGAGGCTCGAGGCGAGGTGGAGGAGGGCTCGGTCGTGGTAGGTGAGGGGCCCACGGCTTACCTTCTAGCTTTGTTTTGATGTTTGCTTGGGGTACCCCGTTCTAAGGTACCCCGCAGTGGCCCCGAGCCTCGGGGTGAGTCGCGTGCACTCCCCGAGGGGTTCGTCGAGGCTGGGTTTATGCCTGCTCCGTAGAAATTGGTTTGTTTTTCGAGGTTCCGGTGGGTGTGTGAGCCACTCCATGAAGTTTCAGAGCCCTGGAGGGTGAAGTTACTCCTCCAGGGGCTTTCTACTCGCGTTTGAGTGATCAGTTCTTATTGCATTTGCCGAGCCCATAAGCGCAAGTTCGGGTTGCGGGGTCTCGACGAGGTTGCAAAAAGCCCTCTAGCCTCCGCATGGAGCGAGAGGTTCGTCGAGGGGTCCCCCGACGTTGGGTATGTCCTCACGCTTCCTTTCGCTCGGAAGGAGGGGTGGAATGTGCCATGCTACCCTCGATGAGCGCGAGCGTGGACACTTTCGGTGAGTGTTATCGGGTAGTCCAGTGGAGGCCCGAGCCCGTTCGCTAGGGGACGGCTAGCGGTCTAGAGACGCACTCCAAAAGTACCGGAGGATTTCTCTAGTGGGTGCCGAGGCCGTTCATTTGGGCCTCGGTGGCTCGGTGCCTCCCACGGTGGGATCCCATTCGGATACTTTCTGTCGGTCTCGGACACGACTTAGGACGCCCGAGCGATCGCTTCGTTCGGGCTGGGCCATTTCAGGCTCGCCTCAAGTCGCCCTCGACTCTGTTGCCGGGGGGCAGGTGTGAAACCTCTTGGAGGCCCAGACCTTGAACCCTGGACCGTAACGGGCTCGGTGCCCTTTATCGTGTTTTTGTCTTAGTTTTTGGGTGCAAGAGGAGCCCCGAGCCTCCGCTGGAGCAAGAGGGACGGTCGGGGTCTCGATTTTTTCATTCGCCCCTCACATATCCTTTTCGTTCGGACGGAGGGTTCATTTGCCGAGCCCATTCTGGTCTCGGCAAGATCGCAGGAAGAGCCCCTAGCCTCTGCGTAGAGCGAGAGGGCCGTCGGGAGTTCCCCTGACTTTTTATACGCCCCTCGCGTGTGAGGGTTTGTTTGCCGAGCCCATTCTGGTCTCGGCAAGGTCGCAGGAAGAGCCCCTAGCCTCTGCGCAGAGCGAGAGGGCCGTCGGGAGTTCCCCTGACTTTTTATACGCCCCTCGCGCGTGAGGGTTTGTTTGCCGAGGCCCCTTTGGGCGCGAGCCCGGGTCGTGGGGTCTCGGCATATTTGCAGGAGGAGCCCCCTAGCCTCTGCATAGGGCGAGAAGGCCGTCAGGGGTTCCCCTGACTTTTTATGCGACCCTCGCGCTTCCTTTTCGCTCGGAAGGAGGGGTGGAATGTGCCTCGCTACCCTCGATGGGCACGAGCGGTGGCACTTCCGGTGAGCTATTATCGGGTAGTCCGAGTGGAGGCCCGAACCCCGTTCGCTAGGGGACGGCTAGCGGTCCAGAGACACACTCCAAGAGTACCAGAGGATTTCTCTAGTGGGTGCCGAGGCCGTTCGTTGGGCCTCGGTGGCTCGGTGCCTCCCTACGGTGGGATCCCATTCGGATACTTTCCTGCCGGTCTCGAACACGACTTTGGGCGTCCCAAGCGTTTCGCTCGCTTGGGTCTCGGCCCCGAATAGGCTGCTCGCCATGATCGCCCACGACTTCTGTTATTATGGGGGCAATTGCCGAAACCCTTTTGGGGTCCGA